GTATCTAGGTGGGGGTGGAGTTTACTTTCCATCTTATTCCTATTTACACGATTTTTTTCGCCCACATTATTTTTTATCAGGATAAGTGGAAAGTATTTTTCTGCATTTAGAAACCATTTAAGTGTAATGAAACACATGTCACTTGAAGCATATTTTTAACGGTCCAAACATTTAGATAATAGTTTATTTTGCTTCTAATTGTTGCCATTTAACCACACACAGCATTKATTCTTTTGGCTTTGTTATAAACCTTTCCAGAGCTGACCACTCTGGAAATTATTTATTTCAGGAAAAAAAAAAATATGAGCAGGATGAAAACCTGCCGTCCAAACGTGAGCATTTTTTCTCGTCCTCGTTGCCACTTGGTGTCAGTGTGACATAGCCAATACTTTTTGTCCATGGGCCCTGCCTTTTTCGTGGTCATTTATTAGAGGAGGTGGTGTACATCTAAGGGTTAGTGCTGAATAAAATAACGAGCGGATAGATTCATAATAACACGTCCTCTTATAGAACAATTTTCATGAGGTGTTTATTAATTTGAGTTCATGGTAGCCTTGTCTCAAAGACAGCCTTTGGATTTTTGCTTCGCAATGGCAGGACGGAGACAAAGGCGCAGARTGAGCTGCTGCTGGATCTCCGGCTTTTTGTTGCTGTGCTTTGTGGATCGGATTTTGGCGCAGCTCAAATACGCTGTTCCTGAGCACGTCCAGGTCGGATCTCCTGTCGGAAACGTTGCCAAGGATTTGGGGCTGGAGGTCGGCACTTTGACAAGCAGACGGTTTCGCATTGTTTCGGGCCCAAATCACGCTCTGTTTGCTTTAAATCAGAACAATGGAGTGCTGTCTGTTGCGCAAAATGCGGACCGCGAAGAGCTCTGCGATGGGACAAAGATTTGTTTGATAAACCTGAAAGTCGTTCTGGAAAACCCTCTGGAAATACATTATGTCGGTGTGGAAATCACGGACATTAATGACCACTCACCGAGCTTTCCAGAAAGCGAGCAGCGCCTGGAAATAGCAGAGAACACTCCTCCGGGGACTCGTTTTCAGATTCACGCAGCCAGAGATTCTGATGTTGGAACACAGTCAGTTCGATTTTACAAGTTAAACCAAAATGATTATTTTAATATTGAAATCAGAGAAACTGAGGAAGACAAAAGGCCGGTTTTGGCTTTGAAAAAGCCTTTGGATAGAGAGCAGAAAGCAGAACATCGTTTAGTGTTAACTGCTTTGGATGGGGGGACTCCCTCTAAATCAGGAACCCTGAATTTGACTATCACTGTTTTAGATGTGAATGATAATCGACCTGTGTTTAGCAAGGATGTGTATACTGTGTTATTAAATGAAAATGTCACAATAGGAACTTTAGTGKTCAAATTAAATGCAACAGATTTAGATGAAGGCTCAAACGGTGAAATTGAATATGGCTTTGGAAAAATACAAGATAAAAAAGTGCATGATGTGTTTGAGTTAAACAGCATCACTGGTGAAATTCGAGTTAAAGGGAAAGTGGACTATGAAGAGACAGAACTTTACAGACTAGATTTGCAGGCATCAGATAAAGGCCAGCCACCCTGGATGGCTGAAAGTCGAGTTGTGATAAAAATAATAGATGTGAATGATAATGAGCCTGGTATTGAGATAACATCCCTGTCCAATCAAATCCCAGAGGACTCAAAGCCCGGTACTGTCATCTCACTCATCAGTGTCACTGACAAGGATTCGGGTCTTAATGGGAAGGTCATTTGTAAAATCTCAGACGTTCCTTTTGATTTGACACCATCTATTGAGGAAAACATGTTTTCTCTCATCACAAAGGGGCGTTTAGATCGAGAAACTGTGTCACATTATGATATTACTATAACCGCCACAGACTGTGGGGAACCCCAACTTTCTAAAGTTAAAATGTTACACGTTCAGGTGTCAGATGTGAATGACAACAAGCCAATTTTCAGTCAGAGTCCGTTTGAGATTTACTTAGTAGAAAACAATCCTGCTGGCGCTTCAATATTTTCTATAAGTGCTACTGATAGAGATCTGAACGAAAATGCTGCAATATCTTATCACATTATGAAAAGTGATGGTGCTCTGGGTGAAATGGCGTCATTTCTTAACATTCATTCAGAAAACGGACAGATATCTGCYCTTAAAAGTTTTGACTTTGAGAATCTGAAAACTTTCCAGTTCCAAGTTGTGGCCACAGATTCTGGAGCTCCGTCTCTGAGCAGCAACGTGACAGTGAACGTGTTCATTCTGGATCAGA